GACGCAATTACAAGTCAGCGACCCTTCATAGTTACCATAATTAATGAGTGGTGTTGCCTAGTGCTCTCGTCTACCAGTCACCTGTGATGGCGTCTATCATAGAACCGCCGGGCAACGTCGATTCCGAGATCAGTGCAATGGAAAATGAGTTTGTGCTTAAGAGAGAGAAGGGTAAGTGACAGCTGACGTTTCGCAACACTAGCCGACCATGTTACCGCCGTCAGCTGATTGGTACGCATTGCCAGTCTGGGCGAGTCTTGCACTCTGGCCGTCCCAGTCTGGGCGAGTCTTACACATTGCCAGTCTGGGCGAGTCTTACACATTGCCATTCTGGGCGAGTCTTACACATTGCCAGTCTTGGCGAGTCTTACACATTGCCAGTCTTGGCGAGTCTTACACATTGCCATTCTTGGCGAGCCCTACACATTGCCAATCTTGGCAAGTCTTACACATGGCGAGTCTTACAAATTACGTCTTGTAGAGCTTACACATTATCAATCTTGGGAAGTCTTATATATCACCAGTCTTATACATTACCAGTTTTGCACCGTGCCCTGGTGTGGGGCGCGCAGTGCCTATCACAGCAAGGACTGCACAGGGCACTAATTAGTCATGGGGTCGGAAGTACTTCTTGGGTTACTGGAGTAGGAGTCGGTAAAAATGTATTAACTCTGACTCTGGTGCTACAGCTAGATGCTTTTTATTTTTTTTTTTAGATTTTCCAGTTCATCTGCAATAAAATTTTTATAATTTTATGTTTTTTCGTTTTAATCTCAAAGGAAGGAAACATAGGTGTTCCTTCTTTTCTTCTATAGCTTTTGTTGTGCCACATTTCCTACCGCTAACGGAACCCAGTTGTGCTTTGGTCTCTCCCTTTCTCCCCACTTCTCCCTCTACTCTCCTCCCACCTCTCATCTCTTTTCCCTATCCTTCCCATTATTTCCAGTACTCTCGGATACCCAGCATTGCTTGAGTATCAGAGACTACATCATAGCTACTCACTAGCTTTATTTTAATCAATGTGACCATCTATACTACACAATCATCATTACTACGTTAATTTTCACTATAAATGACCATCATCACTAACTGTCTTCACTTCACACTAACTTCCTCGCTTTAACCTTTCACTACACAGAACCTGCAACACTAACTATCTGCAATACACATAGTCATCCTCATCAATATAACCATCTTCACTAAATATTGTCTTGACCTCAGTAACCATCATCACTACCCAGGAACCACTGGTAGGGTGGATAAAGACAAACTATCAAACTTGGGCAGAATATGAACACAGGGAACACAGGTGGAACTTGGTTCTCAAGTGAGCTACAGACATATCGGAAAGAATTTTTTCAGTGCCAGAGTCGTTAACAAATGGAATGCACTATTCAGTGTTGTGGTGTAGGTAGACTCCATACACAGTTTCAAATATAAATATCCCCTTCTTCTCTACCTATAATACATCCCCCCTTCTTCTCTACCCCCCCTCATCCTTATTTCCATTCCAACCTTGAACAGACAAACATTTCCATTTATATATATACACTGTATATAGAAGGGGTACCTGGCTGCACCTAGGTTTCCACCTTCTTTCCACCCTCTTCTTCCATCCTTCATATTTTCTCTTTAACCCCTCTCATCCTCTTACTGCCTCCCATATCCCATCCTTCCCCTTCACCAACAGTATTACAGAAGTTGGGTGAGGCTAGCCCCAAGCATCTGGCTCCAACTTTGGACAAACATTCATTCTTATAATATAGATTACTTTATACAGTACTTTATAGCCTTTTGATAAAAATATAACCTCATTGTTTTAAGTTTTCTAAGTTTTGTTGTTTGTTTAAAATTTAAGATTGCTGAATGTTTGTAGTTTCTTCAATAAATAAAATAGTCACAATGCCATAGCTATAGCCTTTAGACCCGAACTTTAACTGTTTAGGTTTCCATAAAGTAGCCTGATGATTCATGCTGGCAGAGATGAAATGCCTTTTATGTTGTGTGCTTTCAGTTGGTATAGGAAATAAATAATTAGTATATTTATTGTGTCCAATGTTGATATATAATTTGAGTGTCTGAGTCTGAAGTTTTATGTACCGACTTTGCAGCCCTGAAATAAACACTACTGTATTGAATATTAAATGTAATTATATAAGCTACTGATTGGCAACTTCATCTATAGCAGGAAAGTCCCTTCATCTGTCTAATGCTAATTATACATTCTTGGTGTGTGTTTAAGTTTTATTAAATATATATTTTGTAAAAAATGTAAATAAATATTATCACAGCATAATAGTTCATTATTATTAAAACTACTAAGTAAATAGTTTGCTAAACATGGTAACTATTCGAAGGCATGTGCATGGTTATGAGCAAAATGTGTTTTATAACATCTTTTACTACTTAATAAACAAACATTTTATTTAGGCAAAAGTACATACATACACATAGGATATAAGCAGATTGTTGGATTAATGGGTAGGCAGGTATGTCCCCTAAAGCCACAAATATGCAGCGCATTTTGGGCATAATGCTGGAAAAAATAAGGATTTAAAACTACTGTAAATGAGATAAAAAAACAATGAAGTAGAGAAATATAAATAAAATTACAATTATTACGTGACATATGGAACAACAAAATTGTAACTGAGCAACATAGTCATTTTACAGAAAAAACAGAAGGAATAAAATTTTGTATAAAATTTTTTACAGGGCAGATAGCAGCAGCAGTAGTACAGGTTTAATTATTAATGTTCAATAACAGCAAAACATAGGTTGACATTTTAGGAAGGTAGGTTACATAATTCATTAGGTAGTTCCTGGTTTTTCTTCAACTGGTCAAGAGAAGGACAGTCTTTGATGTCATTAGGGAGGTCATTCCACATTCTGGGAACCTTGATTTACAGAGTATTTCTCCCTTAGTTAAGTCACACAGTTGGAATATCAAATAGATATTTGTTTCAAGTCAGGTGCGCATGGGTTCTGTTACCAATAAGGTTTTCAATTATTTTAGAAATTATAGGCCTAAATATAAATAATTTGTATCAAATTTAGTACTGAAAACTATGCAAATGAATTCTAAATAATTAAAAATGTTTTTTCATGCATGCCATATCACTACAGTACTGTACTATATATTTACTTTGAAATTGCTCATCCTGAAGAAACACGTAAAAATAGAAAATACTAAATACAAAGACTAAATCCTTACTATAGATTAAAATAAAGATTTTAGTGTGGTTAACACTACCCATAATAATTCAATTAATTTCATTGTTAATTTAACAGGTTATATATCTCTTATGGTTATATAGTAAGAATACCTTTATCTGGGAACTTTGACATCATTCAGTAATTGTTGTACTTCAGTACTGTACTGTATATGGAAATCTTATAAAAAGATAATATATATTTTAATAATTTTTTATATTTGCCAATGCATGCCTTGTATTCAAAGCATTGTTATTAAATTTAAGTACAGTATCTTACAAAATATTGAGGATAAGCTGTTTATTACTATGAATGGTAGTTTATTGTAAATTGTCCTATTTCTTGCATTGAATGCAGTATATTAATGTCATTGGAATTGTTGCATATGCTGTTGTTTGTATTGTCTATTTTAATTTACAGTATTCAGTATCATGTCATATAATGAGCAATGGCATCTTTTATACAATACATAATTATTAAATTAAAATTAAATAAAAAAAAAATATTCGGGAAAAGTACATACATAGATGAGTTACAAACATAATTTTGGATTTGTAGAAAAACTAGTACTGTACATACAATACCTAAAGCTACTAATATGCATAGTGTTTTGGGCAAGGTGTGGGATAAAAACACTTGGACAAAAGCTTAATAGTACTGTAATTGGGAGTAAAGTATAAATGGTGTTGTAAAAAAAAAGGAATAAAAGAAAAGAAAAAAATGGGGGATGGGGACATGGCAGAAATCAGCAATTGTACAAGTTCATCAATTAACAGCATTATTTAGAAGCAAGACATGGGTTGACATTTAGGGGGTAAGGTAGGTTACATGGAGTTAATTAGGTAGTACAGTACTTAGTTTTACTCTTAAACTGGTTGAGAGAGGTACAGTCTTTGACATGATTGGGGAAGGTCATTCCACATTCTGGGTCCCTTGATTTGTAGAGCATTTCTAGTTTGGTCAAGTTGCACTCTTGGAATATCAAATAGGTATTTATTTCTGGTGTGATGCCCATGGGTTCTGTTACAACCTTCTAGGAAGCTTTATTATCATTTGTTAGTATCACTTATAGTATCACTAGTTAGCATCACTTATTAGTATCACTTGTATGTATTTTTTCTTGTATACTGTAATTACAACTCTACTAAATTTTGTTAAAGTACACTAAGTTGATTATAAAAGTACAGCAATTTATGAGTAAAGTTATAAAATTAGTAACTAGTTAGTCAATTTATTAATTAAAATTCAAAGTAAAATTAAATATTTCTAATACAATAGTACTCTACATTTGTTCATGAACAATATATTTTATGGTTTTTAATTTTCAAGGCCAACCTAACCAATGGACATTCAGTTGGATCAACTTTTTATCAAAGCTGCACAAGATATAACTAAATATCTGGTACTAATTGAATGTGGCATATATGCATTTCCCTTTGCATTCTCTTAATGTATTAAAACCTCTAAATCTTGTAATACATAACCAACAATTCTATCTGGCTCTTTTCGTATCTTTGTGACTGTGTCACAAAGATACGAAAAGAAGAAATACATAATGCTTAGTGAATCCAGGTCCTGAATCATACAGAGCCCACCCACATTCAAATTGGCTGAACATTTGACTTGGCAGAATTTTTTACCAGGAATGTCTAAAAATGAAATAAATTTGCAATTTATGTGCCATAACCAGCATAATTAGTATTTCCTCATGCAATAAACATAAATTTACAGTTATATATGCAGTACATACTCCAATATTTTATTTACAGTAACAAATTTAAACATACCTTGGAATGGTTTGTCAACTTGCTTGATGAAGGACCTTGATGCTGTTCACTTATCTAACTTAATATTAAAATTATTGTAAGTGAGCTTGGTAAGGTCATCTTTGACTGCCAGCTGCTGAGACTTCCCTGGTTGAAGGTCCTTGGCTTACTGGTGACTAATGTTTCCAGTGTGAGTTGTACTCTGCCACCATAGCACACAGTTGCAGTTTGGTGTGCCTGTGCATCATGCAATGGGACCTTGTGTTCCTTTGGAAAATGAACATGTGGAAAATGATTAATTTTCAGGTTTTAGTGACCAGGATTCTGATAATAGCAGTGTTTTAGGTAGTAATTACCTAGGTAATTACTTAAGTGTAGTTACAGGATGAGAGCTATGCTCGAGGTGTCCCATCTTCCCAGCACTCTTTGTCATATAACGCTTTAAAACTACCGACGGTTTTGGCTTCCATCACCTTCTCACCTAACTTGTTCCAACTGTCTACCACTCTGTTTACAAAAGGGAATTTTCTTATATTTCTTCTGCATCTTTGTTTAGTTAGTTTACATCTATGACCTCTTGTTCTTGAAGTTCCAGGTCTCGGGAAGTCTTCCCTAACAATTTTATCAATTCCTGTTACTATTTTGTACATAGTGAAGGAGCCGGTCGGCCGAGCGGACAGTACGCTTGACTTGTGATCCTGTGGTCCTGGGTTCGATCCCAGGCGCCGGTGAGAAACAATGGGCAGAGTTTCTTTCACCCTGTGCCCCTGTTACCTAGCAGTAAAATAGGTACCTGGGTGTTAGTCAGCTGTCACGGGCTGCTTCCTGGGGGTGGAGGCCTGGTCGAGGACCGGGCCGCGGGGACACTAAAAAAGCCCCGAAATCATCTCAAGATAACCTCAAGATAGTGATCCTATCACCTCTTTTTCTTGTCTTCTAGTTTTGGCATATTTAATGCCTCTAACCTTTCCTCGTATCTCTTGCCCTTCAGTTCTGGGAGCCACTTAGTAGCATGTCTTTGCACCTTTTCCAGTTTCTTGATGTGCTTCTTAAAGTAGCATGTCTTTGCACCTTTTCCAGTTTCTTGATGTGCTTCTTAAGATATGGGCACCACACAACCGCTGCATATTCTAGCTTTGGCCTAACAAAAGTCGTGAACAATTTCTTTAGTATTTCGCCATCGATGTATTTAAAAGCAATTCTGAAGTTAGAAAGCGTGGCATAGGCTTCTTCCACAACGTTCTTTATGTGGTCCTCAGGTGATAGTTTTCTATTTAGATCCACCCCTAGATCTCTTTCTTTATCAGAATTCTTTAGAGATTTCTCACATAATTTATAGGTTGTGTGGGGTCTATGTTCTCCTATTCCACATTCCATAACATTGCATTTATTCACATTAAATTCCATTTGCCAAGTGGTGCTCCATATATTTATTTTGTCCAGGTCTTGTTGAAGGGCATGACAATCATCTAAGTTTCTTATCCTTCCTATTGTCTTAGCATCATCAGCAAACATGTTCATATAATTCTGTATTCCAACTGGTAGATCATTTATGTAGACAATGAACATCACCGGTGCAAGAACTGAACCCTGTGGTACTCCACTTGTGACATTTCTCCAATCCGATACATTGCCTCTGATTACTGCCCTCATTTTTCTATCAGACAGGAAAATTTTCATCCATGTTAAAAGCTTACCTGTCACCCCTCCAATATTTTCCAGTTTCCAGAACAACCTCTTGTGTGGAACTCTGTCGAAAGCCTTTTTTAGGTCCAGATAAATGCAGTCAACCCAACCATCTCTTTCCTGTAAAATCTCTGTGGCTCGATCAGAGAAACCGAGTAATTTCGATACACAGGTTATTCCAGATCGAAAACCATACTGTCTGTCTGATATTATATCATTTCTCTCCAGGTGTTCTACCCATTTAGTTTTTAATATTTTTTCCAATATTTTCACTATTACACTTGTCACTGATACAGGTCTATAATTGAGGGGGGGGGGGTCTTCCCTACTGCCACTTTTGTAGATTGGAACTATGTTAGCCTTTTTCCACACGTCTGCTATGACTCCTGTACACAGGGATGCCTGAAAGATCAGGTGAAGTGGAATGCTGAGCTCGGATGCACATTCTCTCAGAACCCATGGGGAAACTCCATCTGGGCCAACTGCTTTGTTCTTACTTGTCTCCAAGAGCATTTGTTTCACTTCGTCTCTAGACACCTCTATGTGCTCTATGCTGTTCTCTGGAATTCTTATTGTGTCTGGTTCTCTGAAGATCTCATTTTGTACAAACACACTTTGGAACTTTTCATTTAATGTTTCACACATTTCCTTTTCATTTCCGTGTATCTGTCTCCCATTTTCAATCTCTGAATATTATCGTTTACCTGCAGCTTGCTTTTAATGAATTTATAGAAAAGGCCTGGATCTGATTTACATTTGCTTGCCATACCGTTCTCAAAGTTACTCTCTGCCTTTTTTCCTTACTGATGTGTAGTTGTTTCTTGCATCTTTGTATCGTTGGTATGTTTGGGGGTTTGGCCTCTTTCTATAATGATTCCATGCTTGTGTCTTTTGATCTCCGGCCCTCTCGCAATTTCTTTTGAACCAACCCTGTTTCCTAGGTCTACATGTCTGTTATCGTATATTTTGCAAAATTTGGCATACATCTCATTTACTTCCTTGCCTAGCAGCAAGTCTGTCCAATTATACCCATAAAAAAAATTCTGAGTTCCCCATAGCGTCCTCTTTTGAAATCGAGTACTGTACTGATGAAACATTCCCTTCCCTCATTCTTGTGGTCTGCTTGACGTGTTGATACATGAATGTCTCCAAGATGAGGTTTAAAAATCTGCCTGTGCAAATGTCCTCTGTTCTTGCCTCGTAGGCCTCCCAGTCTATTGCCTTGAAGTTGAAGTCTCCCAGTACCAACAATTGGGATTTATCTTTGTCAACTCTTACCATAATCTCTCTCATGACCATTATGAGGCCCTCTCGTTTGTCATCCAGTTCTTCCTTTGTCCATGTGTTGCTTGCTGGTGGGCTGTAGGCATTTAAAATTATCAGCTTATCATCTTGATTCCAGACCTGCAATGCCATTATGTCAATATCTAAAGAATTTTCAAATGTTAACTCTTACCTTCAGGTGTTCTTTCACCAGCACAACCACTCCTCCCCCTTTCCTAGTTTTCCTGTCACGTCTCCAAACTGAGTAGCCCCTTGGGAATACAACCTCGTTTAAAATATTTTCTTCAAGTTTAGTCTCTGTTAATGCAACAATATCTGGGACTTTGAGATGAATTATATCCTTCAACTCCAATATTTTCAATCTCACTCCATCTATATTGGTATATGTTATTTTCAGGAATATGTTCCCCTTCCTTTTGTTCTTTACATATGTGTTTTATTATTCTAATATTAAATTGTGGTGCACATATTAGTGACACGAATATATGTACATATCCATTTTCTACATGTTCTGTGATATAAATAACTTTATTGGCAGCCCAATTCATCATTGCACTTGGAAAAATCGTAATTGAATGTAATGAAATGCCTCTTTCTTATACTGCTCAGGTGGTTACCTGAAGCATAACGCTCGGAAGGCTTCCCACTACCGGGTCACATCAGTCACAATGAGTCCTTTTGGCCTTGCTCAAGCATAACACCTAAATGAGGGTAGAAATAAAGAAGAAATAAAAAAAATCTACAAGGTGATAGGGATCGGGAAGACTATAAAATGGGACACACAAAGCAACAACAACAAAAAAACTAGAACAAGGGGGGATTAAAGGACAAAGGGAAGTAAAACATGTTCCTAAAAATCATATATACAAACATAAATAAAGTGAGAGAAAAATACTGAAGCCAAATGATATAATACAGTTTAATATGCCAGAGATTGATGCACTAACATAGACAATACTAGTACTGTACTTGATATTTTAATTGAGGTTGTTTTCAAGAGAGGTTATTAAATTTGAAGAGGAGAAAGAACAATTAGAAAAGGTGGCATTGCCGTTCTGGTGAAAGAACACCTAAAGGTAAGAGAATTAGTAATCGACAACATATGAGAAGTTGACATAATGGCTTGGGAGATTTGGAATGAGGATAATAAATTCATAATTATAAATGCCTACCGACCTCCAGCAAGCAACACATGGACAGAGAAGCTGGACGACAAATAAGATGGCCTCATAATGATCATAACCATAGATCATCCACAAGGACTGTGATGAGGGTTCGAACCTACATCTGAGAGGATCACAGATGCGCCTTAGTTGACTGTGCTACGACAGGGTAAAAGAATTGCAACCGGGAGTTCTACTAACCTCACACGGATCCTGCAGTCTCTCCGAGACACAAACCAGGGTTTTACACAATTCCCCCCATGCACCCGGGCTCTGTCAACAAGCTATTCTACCTCTTCGCCCTTACTTCATTACACACAAATCACAATAGCGTGATGCATCAAATGAACAAATCCACACAGGCCATGAGGGTTCGAACCTGTGTCTGAGAGGATCCCATACGCGCCTTAATCGACTGTGCCACGACATGTGTGTAATGAAGTAAGGGCGAAGAGGAGTTGTATCCAGACCACGGTTGTGTGCGGTCGCTAGGTTGGCGCTCTTGGCGTCCGCTGATTGGTGGGAGGTGGAGGATTGCCCCACACTCTTCGTTTTTTGCACGTGGTGATACAGGATATTGTGCATTTGTTCTCGATTATTGACAACGTCGAAGAAATGGCTGAGGCGGTATGCCCAAGTGGCAGTGAGGAGGACAGACAAGATGATAATCGACCGTTTGAATTAGTAGTGAACAAAAAGAAACGGAGAAATAATAACAGACAGCGAGACAGTGAGAGTGACGATGAGATTGCAAAGAGACCAAAGAATGAGACCCTACTCGGCAAGACTCAAGACAAGACAAGAAGGAAGAGGCTGTTGTTCCCTACAACATGCCAATTGAATTTCCACCAAAAGCTAGAGTGGACGGTACGTTTGGCTAAACAATGTTTGGAATACGAACCACTTTTCAAGGAGGGTCTTCACCGGCCCTACATAACAGTTGGGACTGAACAGGCCGTGGAACGCCTCACGACGGTTGGATTTGAGAATGTAGTGATGGTTCCTCCAGAAGAAGGTATGTTGCACACAAAGATCATAGTTTTCAAGTTTCCAACTTATTTGGATCCTGACTGTCTTCTTCTTAACAATGATAATGTTGTCTGGGCCAAGAGGAACAGTGTTCGTGGTGACAAA